GTGGCTACTTCAGTTCCCAAACCCCAGAAGAATCTCCCAAAGCGGTATGTGTTTGTTCATTCTGCTCACCTTCTCTGCTTTACAGCAGCAACGAGGTCTGGCCCTGAGAACATGGAGAACAAGCTGTCTCCGTTAGCTGAGGAGGTCTCATCGCTCGAGCTGGCAGAGTCCCCTTGCGTACCAGACCAGCTGTTTGTCACATCACTGTAAGACAAAGTTGTGTTAGTCCCTGTATTTACGGTGCCAGCCCCAGCCCGTGCTCCCGCGCTGGGCGACAGCTCAGAGCACAAAGACGTTTCAGTACTTCACAGGAGGTACTGTAACGCAAATATTTCCAGTTACTGAGCCATCACATCAACTGCTTTCTGGGTTACAGTCGCTTTATATGCTTTCTGCCAAAATAACGAGGGGAGTCACAAGCGCGCCTCGGTCAAGAAGCGCCAAGCGATGCTTGGGTTTGGAATCACTGAGCACCCGACTCTGTCGCTGCAAAACGGAGCCAGAACACATCCTTGTCCCCCTGGTTTGAAGCTAGTTTGAGTCACAGCTGTCACATCAGGGACAAACGGACAGGATCAATTCTGGTTTGGAGGAGATCAAGAACTACGGACGTACCTGCTGTAAGGTACCTGCCGTATAGCAGCAGGGTAAGTAGCTAAAACCTGGAAAGCTGAATTCAGTCAGGGACTGCAACTTCGACAGCATCGCATTTCATCAAAACTAGGTCTTAAAGGTTTTCAAAACACTGGAAAGAAATCCATTCTGAACGAACCTGTGCTATAAATTCCTTACTTCCTCTGTTCGAGTCCAAGCTGGAATACATCCCACCCTGAAGGCGGCATCAGACAAATGTCAGTGCCTCAGTACCAGCGGAGCGGGACGGGCTCAGCTTTCTCTTGACACAATGATGCGGCAGCAGTTGGACAACACACCCCCGGTATTCCCACATTCTGCCAAGTCTGAGCGTAAACCAGACCCCGGTACAGCAAAGATCGGCAGCCTGTCTAATCTCTTACCCCTCTGTGAAATACTCGGGAAAGGGCCAGGTTTTGTGAGGATCATCGGGAAGAGGCCAGTTGCCACGCGTGTGGCTCGGGCGGCGGACGTGCTGCGCTTGCCGTTTCTGCTGCATAGCCTGGTTGACGCCAGCAACGTAGCGGGCGAACTCTGGATCGGAGCCAACTGAACAAAAGAAACCAACAAGTCAGTTGCTGACGCTGGGCTGTTTCTGCTGCAGTTATCCCCCGCCTTTAACCCCTGAGGCTTGACCAGACCCCGCAGCAGAAAGCAATTCCCTCGCTGAGCGTAACGGGCAGACGACAGCCGATGCCTTGTCGCGGAGCAGCCAGGAACACGGATGGAGGTGTGTCTAACGAGGAGATGCGCACCGGCCGTACGTGGGGGGTAACAATGCTGACGTGAGGCACACCTGCCCCTCGCTTTCCCGCGGGAAGCCATGTTTGTGACTGTCCTCATGTCTATACCCTGAAAGGCCCAACATCCCCTCAGCAGCCACTTCGGAATCAGAGCCTGTGCGTTTATCCAGGCTCAGAGAAAAGGCCCTACCGACTGCTGCAGTCGATTCCAGACTGCAACACAATGTCCAGCTCTCACGTTTTCCATGTTAAGAACCTGCTTGCTTCGAGCAATCGGAATCTCAGACCAGTCATATTAGACCACACAGCCCAGAAATCACCTACTTCTAGACAGACTCGGTAACAATTCCGAAAACCTGACCATGAACTGCAAAGTATTTCAGAGCGAGACTGGTATTGACAGCAGAAAGCAGTAATTCTTAAAACCAGCAACTCTTCCATTCCTCAAGGGCTCCGTGTGTCCCAAGCCTCGGGCAAGTGATACACATCATCTTGGGCAGACACAGCACAAGCCTTGACCCAGGAGTGTTCCAGCTGACCTGGGCACCCCCCCACATATTAAGAAGAACCCTGCTTTGAGTCAGCGTCACTGACCTGCCACAGCTGCTGCTGCCTTTTCTTTTCCCCATGAAGGAAAACTTTGCAGCCTCGCTGGATTTACGGAAAATGTCCAGAGTACATGCGCAGTAATACAGCGGGAAGCACAGAGCTGCTGGCTTCTGGGCTCAGTTTAAGAGTGGAGACTGAGGAACATCCAACAGGCATGCACAGCTCGGAAAGCAGAAGTCAGTCCTCCGCATGACAGCTTCCCTACATTCAACTCAGCTTTTAGCAGTTCCCTCATCTTCCTTGGGCACATTTGGAAAAGAGCTCTGCTGTGCTTTGCTGGATGCAAACTGAAACGACAATGAAGAACAGAACATTGTTCCTCTACGTTGTTTCTTACATAAAGACAGGATGGAGCTGTACAGAAACACAGTACCCCCACTAACGCCTGTTCTCTTGGAGAAACACATCTTTCTGTCAGTTTAGGGTGAGGCTGGAAGCTAGGGAGATCCTCAGATCTATGGATAGATTCTAGATAAATTCTCAAGGGCGTCCAGGTTTTTTCCTGTGGATAGATTACCGTTATATTCAAACTAGCAGGCTGTGTTAATTCTGACCTCAATAAAAACGTATCAGGTAAACAGCCCTTCAGCAGGTATGTTTGGGACTTCATTCTCTCAGGTCTGTGACCTCATTCACAACACCTGCAGGTACCAACATTCCTTCTACCAGTCCCTACGGCAACAGCCCTTCATCAGGTCCTTACAGATGATACAAGTAGTGTGAAACGCTTTTCTGGTGGCTGGTCGAACCTTTGGTGTGAAAAGCCATCAATGTTATAAATACTTAATTAGCAGATTTGCATCTGGAAAGGCATCACATGCAGTCTCCACAAATATTCATCAGAAAAGTACTGATGTTTGTTTCAAATGCCCAATGTAGAGAGTCCTAAAATTTGGAAATGAAAGGGTGTTGCCCGTTTTAAAGCTTTCTGTACCATACTAACTAGAACTTAAATTGCAGATTCCTGCATCACAGCTCAAACTTGCAAGTTATATGAAGAGAAGTTATCTTTCCCAGGGAAAAAAAGATCTATGTGATTGGAAGGTTTTGCTTTTTTAAACCCCAGATCTGTGGAAAATAATGCTGACTTCTCACTCAACAGTTAAAAATATGTATCCTCATCCACAGAGCACCGTTTGTTAAATTGGCCAAGTCACCTTTTTGGAGTCCTTGATATTCACCCTATCAAATGGAAGAAAAGAAGTAGCTTTATGTTTCTGCAGTATTTTCCTTTCAATCTGCCTAATGGATTCAAAATGCCAAAAATGCCAGTCCTTTGTAGAAATGCATATTCTTCCCTACAAATACATTTATTTGGAGAAAATCATGTCACCTCTCCTTAAAGTTTGTGATAATCCTTAAGTATATACCATAAGTAACTAAGATTATGCTAACTCAGACTTTACAATTAAAGAAACTTGTGATGATATAACTGATGCCTGTTCTTGCCTTATAAACTCCACTGATTTACAAAGAAAACAGCTGTCAAAATGGTGAGTCAAACGAGCTTGTCTGAGATGCCTACCCAGCCCTAACACACAGACACGTGTGGGAATCAGACTCATGGCTTGATAAAAGGTTTTCCTGTTCTAGTGCTGCCTCCCTCCAGGCAGTTTTCATAAATGCATCCCACAAAGTTTCTGTAGGGATGTTCCAGGCCAAGAGAAATTATATTTACGAGGTAACAGATTTGTAAGGTGTTCCTTGCACTACTGCCAGAAGAACTCATTAGTCTCCTCCTAGACTCTGCAGTTGGTTTCAGAGTCTTCAGCTATCTGCTTATGGCTGCAGCATTTCATCTCACTTCACCTCTGACCATCACCCCTCTACACTTACAGTTTATGCTGGCAAACCACATGGCGCCTGCTCTTTAGTCCCTAATCCTTCAGCATCCCAGCTTTTCACCCCACTAACAACGTAGAACAGGAACCAGTATGAGTCCCACGGCACTGCCCAGCAATGGAGGGGAAAAGCAGGGATATGGGAAGGATGTGATCTGGCTGTACCTCCAGACTGCGGGACTGGTACAGAGCAGGAAGGATCATTTGGGGAGAGGTAAAATACACAAGTTCAGGAGTCAACAATGGCTTTCAAGTTTTACACATTAATAGGAGGAACATCGTCTCTAAGTACCTGTCCCAGTGGTCCATAGGGGAAGGATGAGAACCACTGCAGCTGGGACAAGAAACAAGCTATTTGTTCACATTAGGATTTATTAATGAGAGTCGTTTGTACTTGAGTTCAGCTTCTTTTAAAAAGAAGAGAGGCACAAATACAGATACCTGTTTGCCCTCATAGGCACCGTAGGGTCTGGTGGACAGCACTGAGAAATGAGAGTTATCGCTAGCACTACCTAACGGTACTCTGCAAACGGACCCATACAAAGAGCAGAATAAGGGAAAAGCCACACACCTGCAGGGTCAAAAGGCAGGATTTCTCCCAACATCCCGAACACTCCATCAGTTTGGTCACGATTTGGCCATGTATTGTTTCTAGGTCCTTGGGGTTTCTGCCCTAACATCTCTGACATCATGTTGTCCATATAGCTGCTCACAAGACCCAAGCTGTACAAATCGGAGCTTAAATCTGAGAAGCCAGGATTGTTCCACTGGTTAATGTGAGAGAGCCCAGCTCCAACAGCCTGGGCTGGCTGCTGTGAGGAATTAGTCAGCCATTTGGCAGGTACGCGCTGCTGTGGTCCAATGGGTTGAAGCAAGTGTTGGTAATACTGCATTTGCTGCTTTTGTGACTGCTGTGGCTGTGACAGGCCTTGCTGAGAAGGATGCAGCGGTGCGTGAGACACAGACTGCGGCTGCTGTTGGACTGTTCCTGATTTTTGTTCTGTTGCTGTAGAGGATGCGACAGAGTTCCTTCTTTTCACCATCGGAGAAGTCTGCTGGGATTTGCCCATGTTAAAACCAGACAAGAAGTCTATAACGTCTTGCATTTCTTGGTCAGTTGGCAAATTCATACCTTTGTCATCCTTGCTGTCATCCGGTTTGAAGAAGTTGTCCCGTCTTTCAAGTAGAAACCCGTTCACTAGCTGATTATTTGTGCTCTGAACTGGCTGCAGTGGATCTGTGGTCCTGGGAAAGTGACCAATGTTCAAAATGCTCTGTAACCGTGCATCGATGTTAGCGGGCATTTTCGCTTTCTCCTCCGAACTGGAGCTTATGAAGACATTTTTGGAAGGCGTGCTGGGGATTGAGTAACTTCCAGCATTACTTGCACTGGTACAGGAAGTTTTTTTTGTAAACCGCGACGTCAGTTTTGAGAACGTCTTTTGCAGACCCCCTGAAGATTTACTTCCATTTCCGGACGGCATGTCAACTTGATTCCCGAAGTCTGAGATTTCCCGCTGTAACTGGATCTGAATACAAGGCAAAGCTTGCTCCCTGCATCAACAAAAACACACGTATCAAACCACCCAATACATAAGCGAGCCTGTGCTTTGGAGGAAACTGTGTATTTGGGTAATCGCTAGTGGAGGAAACAAAAGCAGACTGCCAAGTTCATCAGCTACTTCTGTGTCACGATGCAAGTTATCAGCAGTATTTTCAACACCATTTAACTACTTTCCATTCCGTAAGAAATTTCAGTTGTGCTTCAAGACCCAGAGGCAGACTAACGTAATATAAACCAAGTATTTCTGTAGGAGAGCCACTTTTCACACTTAGATAAGCAGCTGGTTTGCTTTAAAGACTGCCCTACCTCTGCATGTACCCACAGGGTACCTGTGTAGATTACCAATGTCTGGCTCTCCCTCTGACTACTGTTCTCCCCTTCTGATGAACCGGGACAATCAAATTGCCCAGCACAGACCTCTCAACAGTGACGGCTTTGTTTAAACTAGGAGAGCAGTGCATGAGGCTCAAGAGGAGATGTACCTTCCTTCCTTCCACCTGTGTATGTCAAACACAGCAGTATAGAGCACATCTACGAGTCCCAGGGTCTTCTCTGGATCCAGACTGCGCTGCAGCAAAGACATTGTCGCTGGGTCTTCTTTCAGACACCTGCAATCAGGAAGTTTCACTTAAAACCAAACATTTTTGCTCTTTACATTGAAGAGTGTTACCATGCTAGTCAGATAATCAGAGGCCTACCAAAACACACCACTTGTGCCCCTACAGAGGTGCAGCTAACAAAGGCAGCAGAACTTGTGAATGCCTCAGGGCTCCCAAGGGCTGCACCTGCAGCCCCAGTTTCTCTCTGCTGCTCAATATACAGCTGCTCTAACTGTACAATGAGGAGTCGTGTCATTTATTTTAAAAACGCGGTTAATGAGCAGCTCTGCTGCTGAGCAGGCATAATTCAGGCACAGAGTAAGAAAAAACAAATCCACAGAGACAGACACCAAGCCCGTATCTGGTAAACGGCAAGAACACACAACTCTAGTGCGTGGGGGCGCGCGGGACTCCGACGCTAAGAACCTCCAGCCTGACATCCCCTGGGGAAAAGGATTCAGCGGATCCAGCAGTCTGGGGGAGATTTTACAGAGCTGTGAAGATGCAGGATTTGTGAATTGTCCTCATTAACGGCTCAGAATTAGGCCTGAATCTGAGGTGAAATCAGAGTAACTCATACCCAAATCCCAGCAGATCTGCCGGGTCCCTGCGAACCCGCGGCAGAGCGAAGAGGCGCTCTCAGGGTGCATCAGCAGGCGGAGCTCTGCCAGAGCGCAGAGCCCGGCACACGCTGCCTGCTTCAGCTCTGCCCTCAGAGAGCAATTTACACAAAGAGAACAGAGGAGGGCCAGTTTGTGCTCTGTAGAGGAGCTGAAGATGGATCTGGGGAAACAGACTATCAGTTCACTTCTGGACAAACCATGGGTACCATCAGTGACAGGCTCAGATGAATGAGCTGCGCTGTACTGACACTCCTGACACTCAAGTACGCCGAAGACAGAAAGGAAGCATTCTAATTCCAAATCACTGTCTCCAAAGGGAAAAAGCCCTCACCTAAACCTCAATTAAACCTACCACTCTTCCCTAGGCAGTCAACTAAGCTGGTAGGAACAGCGTCTCGGACCAGAGCGTTGTGCAGTTCCCCACAGCACTTGCAGAAAGCGCTACAGCTCCCACGCTAATCTCATCTAGTTCCTGGCCATCCTGAGGGAACGGCTGTGAGGACCTGCCGGGGAGGAGCGTAACAGGAATACCGGTTTGGGGTTTTTTGGGGGTTTTTACCTTCTCTTTCATCAGCTGCCTCTCACTTTTCTTTAAAAGTATGGCTTAGTGCCCCAGCACTGCCACCAGCAGAGGCAGCACTGGGACGAGGACGGCTGAGGTACAACTGTCAGTGGCAGGAAGGGTGGTGTTCAAACAGCCCCACACCGGAACTTACAGAAGATACGCCATGGATAGCACAGTGTTCCATCTCCCATTGGCACTGCAGGACTTTTCCCCATATTTTTCAGTCACACCTATCAGTATAACCTCTAACCCAGTATTTTTATTTACCAAGTGGATGGAACTTGCACCACAATTCTGGATCCTTCTAAACTTATCTGAGGAGCATAGGCTTCTTTATTTTCAATCTGTGCTGTGTCCACAACCACCTAGCAAATGAGATGAAAGTAAAAGGGAAATTATTGTAAGAATTAGTTCTGGTTACTTCATCACCCCTGTAGTTAAAATGCAATAGTCTCACGTCCCTGCCATGCTACAGGTGCTAAAGATAACCAGATAAAACCAAATCAACTCACAAAATCACTGTAAGTTGATTTCTATTTTAGTATCTAGAAAAAGGAAAGGATATAAAACGATTAGTTTGATACAGTAACCTATGCTTCAAGGACTTCATTCTTCTCAATTACATACTGTAGGTACGCACCACTACGCAGCTGCCACCTGCGTTACCTACCAGCTGGTAGGTATCAATGGCTTCACAGAACAGCCCTTACAGTGGAGAGTTTTCATGCTATTACTACTTCAGGAGCTCCCAAACACCTACTTATCACAAGATTTTGCATTTAAACGCAGTGCATGGTATGATATGGACAAGCAGTATTCAGTCTGAAACCCTCCACACAGCTCACAATTCTTTACACACACACACCCCCCCTCCACCTCCTTTTAAGGTCAGAAAATCCCACACCAACATGTCTCTGTTTGGCCCAATGGAACCATCCCATTGTTCAACCCCTATTATGTAAGGGGGAAAAAAAAGTGACTGTTCAATCTGCTGAATTCTGATCCTTCTGTAAGACATCCTGAAGATATACAGTAGATGAAAGTCTTCAGAATTAACCTCCTGTCAAGAACCTTTCTTTGTATGGAACCGAGGAGGAATGGATTCACTTCAGCTTCATTTAAACTTTAACACCAGTGATAGCAAGTTCCATATTTGGTTTGTGCTTTCTGTTGTTGTCCAGTCTGCATGAGTTGGCCTTTTTGATCATTTCCATAATTTCCTATTTTGGTCATGCTGAACCAGCAGCTTTTTGGCAGCAGTCAGCAGTTCTTGCTTCAGTGACTAGCAGATTAGCTGTATCATTTATCCTTGAAATGGCAAAAGTCCTCCGGTATAAATAAGCCTCAGGGGATATATTACTGGCTTTTTCTGCAATCATCCTACACCGGTTCCACTTCCAACTGGTTGTCTCCTACTGGTTATGAAGAAATGGGAAATACGAACAGTGCTGAGAGTCTCTGCTCTCTCTTGCTTTAACAAAACCACCCAATGACACTTCACCCCACTTATTTCCCACCTTTTAGGTATTTTAGCCTAAGGCCTTAGTTTTCCTCCAGCTGACTCTGAGCATGCCCCTGAGTTTATTCAAACTTGTACGACATGTCTAAGCAGAGTGACAAAATCCACTCATGAAAATACCTCTCACTTAGTAACAGGGCAACTCCATTAGTTTTTTCCTTGTATTTGTACCATTTCAGTTTTAGGTAATTTGGTAATCTGTAGTTCAGCTATATTGCAGTTAGAATTGGGATAAGGAGAGATGAAGTTAAGAGTGATTTCTCTCAACTCCCACCAAAAATACTGTCTGCACCTCAGACCTGTAAGCAAGAACCGAAAGTCTGATTTGTGCAGACCTGATCAGCTTCTGGTAGTGGTGTGTGGTGGTACTCATGGTCTGGGCTTTGTAGGGGGTGTCCCCCCCACCCCACCTTCCCTTTGGCCTTAAATAAAAAAGTTTTACATTCCTCAGCATTTGGTCAGTTAGGACATCTGATTGGACGTTACAAAGAGATTTAGCGCTGCTGCAGCGCACAGGTTTTTGCTACTGAAAGATTCACTGGCACAAAAAAGGATGGCTAGGGACTCAGTTGAACCTCCTCCTCATGGCTTTGCACGGGGCCGATTCTAAGTTTTACTTCCACTCATCCTCCGAATTCAACTCTTTCAAGACATGTCACTTTTATACACACGAAGATTTCTTCAGCCGACCCAAATCTGAAAATACAATTCTTTATATATAGATAAAAGTGAAAAGTTGCACTTTTAAAAATTATTTCTTAGGCTTAAAAAAATGAAGTCTACAATAACCCAGCAAACTAAGTCCCATCGCCCTGTGCCTTCCACTCTTCTGGAGTTTCTTAAAAGGCACATGGCCTGACAGGCAAAAGACAGCGAGAGAGTCAAGTCATGTTCTTCTTAAAATCCGGCACTGAAATGACAAGTTTACACACAATTCTGAACTAATGCAGACAGCTCAGCTTCTAAAAGCAGTAAACCAAAGACTACGTAATATTGTCCCATGATCCATTTGTCCGAGTTCCACACAAAATAAACTTAAAATAAAACATTCTCCCTGCCTGCCTGGCGGGTGCTTAGAGGATAGCTTCCTGTGCATCAGACATCTATTGTTCTTGCTTTACAGGTGTTTCCTCTCTCATCTCCACCCAAAGAAAGCTTTAAAGAAGCAAATGAGAATTTGTTGTCTTTGCATGAAGCATACATACAAGCATAATGGAATCTTGTAAAAAGTCACAGCACATAGCTTATAAAGAAAAACCTCATCCCTCACACCTTTCCAAATTGTAATAAATTCAAATGAGAACAAATGAAGGAGAGAAGGCTCACCAATATTTTATCATGTGTGTAGCTCATTACTGTGTCTTTGAAGACAGAAACCTGCCACTTTCAGAACCTAAGGTTCATGCAAAAAAAAAAAATCTTTGGAGGCATTCATGCTTCAACACAAGTAGTAGTCCTTGTGTCAGCACTGTCATTTGGGAGAATGTATAAGGAAGTTTTATGCTGACAACTCTCCAAATGTTATGATAAACCTGAAGAATATCAGAGCTTTCATTACCAGCAGGTCTAACTAGTTATGTCTAGACTGGGGGACAGCAGGAGATTTGGACTCGGGAGTCTAGGAAAGTGCCTCGGGCCACTCCCCAGATCCCATCAGGGCAGCACTTGGGTGTGCACAACACTGAAACCCCCTGGAAAGGAAGCGGTGGGAGGTGCAGCATCCTCCAAGGCATTCCTCATCTAGACACTCGGGAGCCAAGAGCAACTCCTGAGTTACAGCACACTCCCTCCGGGCTGCTGAGAAAGTTTGTCTTGGCCTCATTTCCCGTACCTTGCTGCTGACTCCCAGCACCCTACCACAAACCATGGCAGGCAGAGACACACTCCCACGTAACCTTTTTTTTCCCCTATTTATTCCTGTATTTATTAATATTTAATACCTATTTTCCTTGAAAACACTTCAGTAGAAATTTGATCAATCCCACTAATCCACATTTGCTTTCTCTCCCTGTAAAACCTCCTTACCTAACCACCTTAAAAGTGGTTAATGCACCACTACCTCCTATCCTATCCTTAAATCCCTGTATCACACTGAAATAAGAATTGATAGCAGGTGCACTGCTGTCATGAGATAGATGGCCTGCCCCTTTGATTTTAGGCCTCCTTTAGAGGATGTCAGTTGAATTCCAGTATGATTTGAACCTAATTCTAACAGATATTAAATATTAAGGGGATATCAGATATATCTAGTATCAAAGGAATGCTAAAGTAGAAATATCTGACAAACTTCTTATTTACAATTTGTCATTCACTGTTATCAGAGAACCTATTAATGGTACCAAAACCCAAGTTTAATGAACTAGGACAGAAGGTCAAAGTCACTCAATCAGCTGTGTGATGTGTTTGAAAAACGTGGTATTTACAAAGTACGTAGCAATATGGGTCCTTTCATCAGAAATTAGTTACGAAGTCCTGAGGGCCTGCCATCATCTTGAACAAAGAATCAGGATCTGAATCAGCAGAAAGCATTTATCTCACTGCAGGTTAAAACGATTCAGAGAATACCTGACAAACTACCATAGGCTATGGTGTCCCTTTATGCCTGCAGTTCCTCCCTATCCTCTTGCATTCTTGCCCCCATTTTATTTGTCCAGTCAAATGAAAACTCACAGTAGCCCAAAACCCTATGTGCCATGAATGAACACTATTATATTAAGAGGAGATTGCAGTAATTAGTTACGGGAGCACAAATCAGTACGTTCCAAGCATCTGTTTTCAGCAACTGTTTAGATACTATAAAAATCCATGGAGTATGTTTTTAGAGAACACGTCTACAGCAAGGTGTGTAATTGCTCTGTTGTTCTGCTGGAGATGTCAGGTAGCAGTACTTGGTGCAGAGGACTTCCTGGTCTGCGTTAGGCAGGAAACCCAGCTTCCATTCAAGGCAGACAGGAAATGAAAAAATGCCAGTTTTCGCAGCTAATCTGAGAGAAGGGGGGAAGGGATGTTTCTTTGTATCATGGCCATGCATAGTTTTGAAAAATCTTTCTATTTCACTATGAATTAGAAGTTTCATTTCTCGTGCTCCCTTTAATAATGGGGACTGCGAAGTACGCAGTACATTCTCCTGTTCCCATCAGCTACTCATACCATCCACAAACTCACGTTCTACAAGGATACATTCTGCTCACAAATCAAGGGAGCTGCAGCATTAAAAACAGTAAAATACAAAGTAAGGCACTGGAAATTAATTCCCAAACTCTTTAAAATATCTGGTTTCTCTTCAGGATGTTTAAGCAGCCCTTTTTTCCCAGTCACTTACCAGTCCAGCTTGGCCAAATAACAGCTGTACAGCAGTTTTGCAGGCTCCTCGCCAAGTGGAAGGGCAAACCTGATTTAGTACTTCGGTAACAGGAGAGTCATCCCGGGGTGTTAGTCCATTGTGGCACCCAGCTTCCTTAATCAACTGCAGCATTGTGTGCTGAAAAAAGCAATTAAAACTCTGTCACACTACACGCACGATTCCGAAATGTTAATACCAACGCTTCCCTAAGTATCTGTCATTGTTCTACACGTTTTTCAACAACTATAATGTTTGTTACTTCTGAACAGTCTTGTGTAACTAGTAGAGCTGAACTGAAGAGCAGAAAGACCACCCCTGCTATCTGGAACACACACAGTATTTTTGCTTGTATTCTTGCAGAACGGTTTCATCAAAGCTACAAACAGCACTGCAGAGACAACAGAAAAGCAGCATTTTCAGCTGTGGATTGTTTCAACTCCTTCAGGAGCAAGGAATTAAGCTTAACTAAAGTGAAAATGCTGATTAAAATTGCCCAAGTTACTTCTGAACAGACATCTTTTCCGTTCCTTTATATGGAAAATACAATTAACTTCTCCACAATTTTAAATTAGTTTTTTTGAATTTGATTAAAGTTTGTAAGATGACATTAAAAGGAGCTTTGTTCCAAAGTATTTTTTCAAGTACCTCCCCTCAGCACTAGGCTGGGCCAGGGTTATTTTGGCACCTAATAAGATAGAAAGTGCATCACCTGGTTTGGGCATCTGTAAGGGGTCACTTTCCTCTGCACTCCTTGACACCTAACCCACCTATTTTCAAACCGTTCACAGAAGCATCATTACCTGCTAGATGCCTATGCTTCTCTCAGACTGGACTGGATTTGCCCAGGTGGTTAAAACATTATCCCTTGCAGGTGTGGACCTACAATGTTATCAACATCTTGTTTCCACAAGAAGTCAGGCTAAAAATAGGCACTTTCAAATACAAGTCTGGCACTGAACTTCTACTGCGGTTGGTCCCTGAATTTTAAGGAGTTCTACTCTTCCCCCCACCCCCCGTTGTTAGATTCAGGGTTATTACTGTTTTCAGCTTCAGGTTTTCTGCCGCGGACTCATTGAAGGATATTCCTTTCAGAAAATGCGCTCCTATCTGAACAGGTACAGTGGGCAGTTCGCACTGAATTGGCTGAGGTGGAGTCTGTCGCCTGCCCGTTTGTTGGGCTTCAGCTTCACTGCAACAGCCCTGACATGTAAAGAATGGATTCATTAGAAGAAATGAAAACTTCAGAAATCCCTCATAGGAGACAACTTTTATTTTATTTTTAATTAAAAACAGCTATTTTCAGGATGAGGAGGGATGAAAGAGAAGCAGGTTAGCGGATCCTACCTGAAGACTTGCTTCAATAGCTTTTGGGTTCAAGTGGAAGCCAGCCTTCATTGCATATTCACAATGGCCTAAACTCTCCAAAGCCACTTTGTAAGCCTGAAATTAAGACAATTTGAGATAGAGCAGGCCTATCAGCAAGTAAGCAGGCAGGCAGTCACTGTGTCTGGACATGTATATAAGAACTGTGACGTGGATTTACCTGGCTCCGTTCTATCGCATACACCCCTTCACCATGTAAAATTCAAACACTAGTTCTCAAATAGCTCCTGGCTGCTTGGGGTACATATTTCTAGAGTAATATACTCCTTCCCTATTTCACCCCTTGGCCCACTGACTGTACTGCCTGCACACGGGAGCTGCAGACTTTAAAAACTCACCTGCAAAGCACTGTCAATTTTCATGTTTAGCTCTTTGAGCTGATGCTCAGGAATTGCCACACTCTGTGAGCAGAAAAGTTGCTGAACTTCAATTCCTGCCAAGCATCCATCACAGCCTCTTTCTCGCAGTCGAGATGTGGCCTGTAATGTAAAATAAAAATCCAGGGTAATGAAGTTCAACATTAAACCAGGTCAAGCTTAATTAAATACAAAAAAAGGCCCAAAAAATCCCCACAGATTTCAAAGGGGGTGAGAAGCAGCACCTGGTGGAAAGGATCTGGAAGAGATTATTCATTTTAACTTATTAATCCTCTACTGATGCTCTGAAAGGAGAAATCTCCTGTCATTTGTCTGGCATGTAAGTGTTGGCTAGCAACTTCGTTCAGCAGTGGTTGCTGTTACTACTGCAGCTCCCTCAGGGCTACGGATCCTGTCCCCCAGGCCACATGATGACTGTGGTTACCGGAGCAGGGACTGAGAACCTCAACATAAAGGGTATTACTTGCCACAGAAACAGAGCATACATTTAATCATGTGCACAAACACTGCTGTGTACATAAGATAGATTTTATAAAAATAAGGGCGATTACTCTGGGGCAATTTGAGAAGAGCCACACAGGACCCTGAGATCAACTTAGCACAGTAAGAGAATGGCTTTATGTAACATGATTTATGAAAAATAAGAAATATGAAAAGCCAAATATCTACTTTTAACTGCAAAATAATCCACTACTGAGCAGGGTAAACCAAATAGAAACCTACTCTCAGCTGTATTGAAGGCCTCAGACACAGCTGATTTTTCAGCCTAGGAAGGAGTCTTGCTCTAAAGCAGGGTGTCCAAACTGGGAATTTTTGGTACTATAGCCAATGGACAAACACACCGCTCCCCTCATCGACACGTACAGAATTCCAGCATTTTCCAAGTGAAAAATCTTAAAAAGGAAAAACAGCTTGAGCTGCTGACAAAGTGTCATCGTAAACTATTCTGAAACAGCAGGGTATTCTCCTGGCAAAGGGGCTGTTTTTATATGGAAAAAATTGATTGACTTCCACACCACAGTAAGAATTTGGAAATATTTCAGTATTTCCAGTCTCCCTTCTATCAAAATACCTTGTATATTAGTCTAGCCACAATTATAAGAGAGATTTTATTTACTTACAGAGCACAGATTTTTCTTACGCTACTCTAAAACCCCACAAAAATACTTCAGATTGACTAAAATAACTAATCATAAAAAATCAAAAGTTTCCTCTGCTGTTATTCTGGAACTATGGAGAATGTCTATTTTTCCTCTTCTCCTCCACATGTAGGTTTAATAAAGAATTTCATTAATGTAATACTTGTACTAAACTCTTATTTCAAAGTAGCTGATGGGGGCTGTTAAGGAGGTAAAAAAAGAAACTTAAGGCCCCAGATTCTGCAAACCCAAGTTTAATTTTAAACAAACTTGATAGCAATTGCAGGACATTTCTAGAAACTGTAACACAGTTTTGAGGAACTTTGTGTATTAAACACAAAATAAACTATTTTTATGGAAAAGGAGTGAAGTTATACCAGGATCAGACCCGTCACGATTATCTGTAATATGCCTGAAGCACTCCAAAATCCTTATTTTATCTACTGAAATAAATTCATGCTGCAGTAAAAATTACAAATAATTGCTCTGCATTCATAGTTCTAAAGGAAGCTTTTTTTTTTGCTTTCATAAACCTTGCAGATGTTAGTTGATAAATGGAAACCTTGACAAGATTTCCAGTCAAGATGATTAACATGCCTGTGTGGGCTGCCAAATTAGACTTCAAAAGCTCATGCTCCAAGTTACTTGAATTTAAGGAAACCAAGCACTCGGTGTCTGAACCCATCCTGATCTATCAGCCTGCAGACTGCTGCAGTGCAAGGGAAAGCAGTAAAGCTCCTAAAACGAATTGTCTTCGT